GGGGGGGGTAGCAAATGTCAGCAAATGTTGTATGGCATAATATTATTCTTGAGTATATAAAAAGGATTGTGCACAAGAAATGAAATGATCCATTCCACACTAACGATATAACCCCAACAATGAATGCTTTGACTCTGTAGTAACTCAATGTCACATCCTTTTTGCAATCTGTGCTCTGAAAGGATTTTGTTGTAAGTGATGCGAGCTTGGCATCTTGTCCTCCCCTTACTTTCTTTTCAGCCTTGCTTATTCTCATTTCTTTTTTTTTAACTTTTTTTTTTACTTTACTGTATTTTCATTTTCTGCCCCCCTTGGAAATTTCTCCTAGCCCTATCTTCACGGTGTGCTGTATTATCACATGCGTGCATTATGATCTGTTTGTGTGTAGTGTGTTAGAAGAACCTTGATAAAAGGTTGACTATTGAAGAGCTAAGAAAACACCCTCCACTTTATTGGGATACTTTATATATATATTTGTTAATTTGTATATATATATATACACCTCTTTTTAAAGAAAGTGTTGATTTTTTTGTCACCACAGTAACTGGTCGTAATATAATCACGATATAATCACGAAGACTTCACCTTCAGAATGTAGTTGCATTTTTAAAAATAAATTCGCAATTCAAATAATTTCTTTCTTTTTTTTTTCTTTACTTTGAATTGCCAATGCTTTTCCAGCAATTATTTTCGCTCAGCTTTTTGGACGTGGGGCTAACGATACTTGAGTGTTTTCTGAAAGCTTATCTTACTTTATTTTCTCAACTTTCTTTCTGCAACACTGTGTGGATGCTCTCATTTATATTCTTACTTATTTCCAAACAGGTATTGCGCATGTGTCACCCTTTTTTATCTCTTCCCTTTTTTAAATTCATTTCTTTTCTTTTTTTTTTCTTTTTTTTCTTATAGATATGATGGCATGGATATGCACCAACTTTTCTTCATGTTGTTGTTTATGTCATTTTGCTAATTTTTATATATTTTATTATGATGGCGATGGGGACTTCTAAGTTTAGTGCAATTTAAACTTATCACCAACCATAGCCTTTCAATATATATATATATATATATATATATATATATATATATATATATAATATATGTATAGTTTTCTATACATGCCACACTAATGAAAATATGTGGATGCGAAAGTTTAAATTTTTAAGAGGTTTTTTTTTCTTTCTGCTAGACAACTGTTCTGTTCCGCGCGACCTCGCTTGCTTTTTGCTCAATTCTTCAACGTTCCCCCTCAGAAACAATCAAAGGCTTCGGTTTCTTTGGAAATCCTAAATGAATACCACATGTGCTTCTCGCTCACCCTGTCAAACTGTCGTGCATATCATTAGACGGAGGAGTTCCTATTCAGTTAATTAAGACAATGGAATAATATGTTCATATTACGTTTTCCACACAAGTAAGATTAGGCCTAGAACTGAAACGTGAGAGCTGACAGAATTTTATGAGTCTTTTCAAGCATTTGACGACCTGAAAATCTATTATTGAAATGACAGTTTTCATTGTTTGTTCAAGATTTTTCATTAACTTAAAAAAAAAACAACTGAATTCCCCCATGCCCAAGAATGATCATACATTTTATTTCAGAGCTTAATTTGGGACTGATATGTGAAGACAAGGGATTTTGTTGTTTTGTGTCGGGGTTTTGTGTTTTTTTCTTGTGTTTTGGGGGGGGGGGGATTGGGGGGGGGGAGGTGGTTAAAGTTCTAGACCCCGCTAAAACTAAAACTACAGTGTTTTGTTGTAATGCTCAACCTGCCTTCCATTGGTTTATGGTAAATTTACCAACGCTTACTTTAGAGGTAAAGGTTTAAAATTGAAACAATTTGTTTAAACATTGCTTTCTGCCCCAAACACCCCCCCCCCTTCATATCTTTTGGACGGCACACTTTTTGGTTACCCGGGCTGGTTCCCCCCTCCCCCCCCCCCCCCCCCCCAAAAAAACCTGGAAAAATATTTGATTGACATTCAATTTGTTTCCCGCCCCTTCGTCGTATAACGAGGGGTAATTTGAGACCCAGGGGGGTTTAAATAACCCATCCCCGACTCCGGTGGGTTTTTTTCCCCCCGGGGGGGGTACCCCCCAAATTTGCGGTTATCGAAACAAAAAACCTTTTAAAATT